CTAATAAGCAGACTACAAACCAGGCGATATCCATCTTATCAGACAACCATTGAAGCATTAGACAATACCGTGTAGAGGATTGTGTGGAAGAGCTAGGAAACCGATAAAAGGTAACATTGCTATGGATACCAGAACACGACGGGCACAAAGAAAATGAGAAGGAAGATGAGCTAGTCCATAAAGGATTGTTCCAAGAGGAAGTCCCTAGAATTGTGGAATGGTCAAAATGACAAATAAGGGGCATAATGGTTCTGTTAACAGGATACTGTCGTCTGAATCATCAGATGAGGCTCTTGGGTCTAGCAGAACAGGCGACATGTCGATTCTACAGAGATCATGAGGAAAAGCCAGTGCATCTCTTGTCACTTCAAAGGTCTGGCAAGGCTAAGGTCTCTAACATTCTGAATCGCGAATCCACTAGTGGAAAGCTACATCCTAAGCCCCGTCAAGGCTATGGAATCTGATTAAAAGGATCAAAGCTTGACAGTACGTATGGGGGGCCACAATACCTACATCAACATGGGTCGCAGTGGCGTTTAGGTTCGCAAGCTGGCTCCTTGCTCAAGTCTGTTAACTGTAAACTATTATAAATTGAAGAGGCACTGAAGAAATAAAAACATTCAGGATTTGAGCCTAATCGCCTGAAGCATCCTAGTTAGCTATCACTTGGCATGAAGGTCGAGTGACAACTGACTTGGTGAGTGTCATGATAGGCCTGCCGGATAAGTGTACGTTTTAGTGGAACAAAGTAACACTTACACGTATATTCTTGGCAACGATGATGGCCAAAACATACGATCATGTCGCAAATGGTAAAAATGAAGCAACAAAAGCAGAAAGAAGTGCCACTGTAGTGCGCCAGTGGTGTGACTGGCCTTTGCAGAACCGAGAGGAGCTGAGCGATCCTCTATTTTGCATACCGATGCGTCTGCTCTATCCGAAACACGAAAAAGGTGTTACTTCCCGGTGACGGCCCACCCGGCTCACACAAATTAATGACTTCTGTCCACGTAGCCAACGAAATAATCCACTTTTCCGGCAATTTGCCCTACCTTATATCCTTTATTAAGTTTCTTTCAGCAGCAGAGCCGGCGTCCGAGGCAACTGCTGCTGTTTTAGAGTTATTTCGTTGGTATTAGGGCATATATTAGAACTCCACGGACGGAGAGTTTTGTTTTTGGAAGTTTCTGGTTAAATCGCTAAATCGTGCACAGATTGTTTGAAGCAAATAGTTAAACAGGAATTTCGCTTTCGTTCATTATATTAAAATATGGCAATAGTGCACAACACAAAGTGAGACAAAATCGTTATTAGTAATTAAATGCTCGCGGCTTTTGGAAGAAAGGTGGCACTGAAAGCGTTTTCTAGTGGAATTAGTAGGTACTGCACGAAAGCGCAAATTTACCGTGACAGATCTGTCAAACGATAATTTCACTACTGCAGATATAAAAAACATTATTTATAATTTTCATTTAACAAACTCGTCTCGAGTCACAATCGGGGCACTTAGGAAGAAACTAGAAGATTTCGATTGGCATGGTAGCGAAAGATTTTTGAGAAGAATCGTTAAGCAACTCGGCTTCAAATGGAAAAAAACAGAATAATAGAAAACTACTCATCGACAAATGGGACATTCGTCAACTAAGAACCAGTTATCTACAGAAAATCAAGTACTTCCGAGAACAAGGTCGCAAAATGATATACCTATATGTGTCCTACATACTTACCGGACATACTAGGGCTAAAAGTTGGGTTGATGGTAGTAAGCGGGGTCCCTCTTCCAAAATATCCAAATTATGATCCATGCAGGTAGTAGTAGCTTATTCTAAATTTTCCACCAAATTCTGTGATAGTTACTGATAATGCACCTTATCACAATATATAAGTGGATCCTGCACCAAACTGCAAGGCTCGGAAGCAAGTAATGGTTGACTGGCCTGTTTCTAAGAATATTAGATTCACACCGACTATACTGAAACCACAACTTTATCAGTTGATAAAGCAAAATAGTGACAGTGATGTGAAAGACAGCAAGTCCTTACCCTCCTAAAGAAAATGTAGCATGCGTTTACAAGCAGGATAATGACTTCACATTGTATATTTTGCAGTTTATTGACGAATATCCTGTTAGATATATTTATGTTTCGGATATATTTAGATAAGCATTAGACGTTCAAACTGTCCTGGCCTTTTTTAATCTTCTTATATTAAGCTGCGGACCTCTGTAAATGGTTTTTTGATTGATTCGTATTAGTTCTGTTTTGTACATATGTATCTAATAATAATATACATGTAAAAATATAATTAAGAAATATAGCAGATACAAGTGTTTCATGTTTGACCTAAGCGCAAACAAAAGTAATGTTTTTTTCATATTAAGCAGTTGGTTCACTTTGCTTGAAGATCCTTTATCAAATTCATATGAGCAACGTGAAAAATTTCAACCCTCCACCATCTTGAGCATTACTATTGGCTTACACTTTTAGGGTTAGAAGATATGCCTGTACGAGAGTAAATCTTGGTAGGTGCCGGCAACTGCCAACGTTTGTGTCCATGCATTCCGCATCAGGTAAACCTAATATAATTTGACACAGAACTCGTGACTGATACCTCTGAATAACAAGTTCAAAGTAGATATGTAGTCTCAGTCACTGGAGACTGACACTGCGCACAGCGAATCTAGATATTCAAAAGTCTGGAAATATACATTTTTCAGAAATAATAATCTGAATTGTCATTAGAGACTACTCTAAGAGCAATTGAGTGAGTTTCTCTCAATTAAAATTACCCCTTTAACAGTGGTCAGTATTTATGGTGTGTCTCAGTTCGTAATTTAATGTCCTTCCCTTTTGTCAAATTGTATGAAACTAGGAGAGCGACATCTCCTGCGAGGCTATAATACGTGAGTTGATTTTTGTAGCTCTAGACACATAGCTCAGTGGTGATGTCAGAATCGAGGCTGCATCTCTCTTACCATTTCTACGGAGTTTGCTGGTCGCAGCGAACATGAGTTCCTCTAAAGACCGATCACTCAGGAGGGACTGCAGTTTTCGCTGATTCGCCAGACATCCTGCGTAAGAAAAGATTTTGGTTCGCCGACCCAAGAAAGCAGATGCCACGTGTTGATCGTTATTTTTAATTTGCATTCGGTTATTTAACCAGGTTTCCTCGGCGGACACACATCGACTCCAGGTGCTGTTGGATTGAGACTAATTTAAAAAAGAATATCCAGAAATGCCATGATAACGTAAAGTTTTCATTTTCCAGGTCCCATTAGGTTCAGTGGAAGTGGCAGGTAACCCTATGCAAATAGAAATTGGAATATAAACCGAAGTAAAATATTTCAAAGCTTCTTTGGACTGGAATTTACCATAATTGAGTGACTCGTGATTGTTATCCAAAATTGGATTTTGTTTACCCAAATGGTGCAAAGAGTGCTATCGAGTCAAAACGTCTTGTTTTGATCTTCTAAGGGTGGTATGAATAAAAATGAAGTACCTTCTAATACTACAAGTATTAGCATTTTCTACAAAGTATGTACTTCAAATCTGAGAAGAAGCTACATTTTCAAGTAGATACTTTTTGTTTTACCGGAACTTACTATATCAAGTAGTATTTACTGAAAGTACCTACTTCTTGTAGTAGATGCTACTAATTTGAAGAGGAATTTAGTATATGCTTGACTTTTGCGAAGTTGGTATAAGTGCAACTTCAGAGAGAATACTACGGTTAGTTTTGTTTAGTTTTCTTTGAAAATGGAAGGAATACGCAGCAGAAAAATATATAATGCAAGACGCCGCTATCATAATGATATTTTATATCATAAAATATTTCGGTAATTTAACAATAATATTATTATTGTTTTTAATTACTTTTAAAATTGTTTATTCTTTTAGGTTTAGTAGAGAAAACGTATCTTACCTAGCGAATATATTTCTCCCAGAAGTAAATGAAACTCGAGGCGGTGCTCTTACACACATCCAACAAATGGAAGTATTTTTAAGAAGCTTAGGTATGTTTCAATAAATGAAATAGGATAAATAATCTAATTTTTATATCTTTATTTCAGGAGACCCTGGATTTCAGCTAGGCGTTGGACTTGATGTTGGGATTCATCAAACAACCGTTTCAAAAATTATTGATAAGGTATCACGTGAAATCTGTAGCAAGAAAAATCAGTGGGTTAAATTCCCTGCTACGGGAGCTATGTTCAACAGAGCTAAAGATGAATGGCAGCACATAATACAATACCTCATGTCATTGGCGCCATTGACTGCACTCACGTGAAAATTATAAAACCATATGTACATGGCGATGAATATATTAACAGAAAAGGAGTTTCTACAATAAATGTACAAGCAACATGTAATAGCAGAGAAATGTTTACCAGTGTTGATGCTTCCTGGCCTGGGTCGGTTCATGATTCTAGAATATGGTACAATAGTCCTATTTACCCTATTATGTATAATAATCAAAAAAGAGTTTGTCTTTTGGGTGATTCTGGATATGGTGTAACTCCTTGGATGCTTACACCTTTCAAAGATCCCATAACAAACATTCAAAAGTATTTCAACAGAATACATGCAAGAGAACGTGTGATTATAGAAAGATGCTTTGGCCAGTTAAAAACAAGATTTCCTATGTTGAATTATACAATCCGACTTAAAACAGATAGAACATGTCGATATATTATGTGTGCATTTATTTTACATAATTGTGCAAAGTTTTTGAACGATCCAGATGAACATTTTGATGAAATGAACATAGAAGAAGAAGCAGTTATGCCTGAATTATATGCCGAACCAAACAACGGTGAACTCCGACGCCGAGGTATCCAGTTTAGAAATGAAATTGCAACACTAATGTACAGACAGCGTTGAAAAAGTAAATAAATATTTGGATTGTTTGGATTTTATACATATTTATTTTATGAAGGTTCTGACAAAATAATTAAACCTAATAAACATGTTATACAAATAATAAACATAAACCTTATTTCTCTTTTAACAAAAAAAAAACATATTAATCAGTAGGTATTTTTGAATCCAAATGAATTCAAAAGCTCGCCTGTTGTCGTGCAAAGTAATCTTCTACGAATTGCTCTACAGCTCCTGCGGTCCTTTCGACAGCTAGAGCGGCCTTTTCTTGAGCTATAGCAGCTTTTTCTTGAGCTGCGGCAGTGTTGATTTGTTGAAGTAGTAATTTCTTTCGTAATTTAGCCATTAATTCTTTATCATCACAAAAAGGTATTTGATTCTCTTCATCGGTCAATCATATATCAACGTCTTGACTAGTGAACGCAGTTACACCTCCTAAAACATTATTAAATTAAAAATTTTGCACCACAATAGTATTATGATTTTATATGGAGGAAAAGTGATTTTATGACGACCCTGAATTAGACAGCCATGAAAATTAACTTTTCCTCCAAGTAAAATATGCTGTTTTTCTTCAAATGTCAAGAAATTAATCGCGGAAAAGTAAAAAGTGAAGCTCCGGCTGATGAAAAATAAAACTTCGTGGCCGCATTCAAGTCAAGCAATAAATGATTTACTGACGTTTGAAGAAAAAATATATAATATCAAATAATACAGTACATGGCACTTGTTGAATTACTGGATTCTCACTCCCATTCCATAGGTTGAAAAATTTTTTTTGCCACTCATTTAACTTAATTTTCCTATTTCCTGTTTTCTTCATATCGGTAATATTTTTAATTTTACTTTTCATATTATTAACTTTTTTTAATACTTGTTTTGCATCTAAATTTTGTTTTGTATTTCTGTTATACGTCTCTGTGAATTCTTTAAGTGCTTTGTCTTTGGCAGACTTAACGGGAGGTGTCATTTTTTTATCCAGAATAATTTTGTAGACTTCTAACATCGTAACAAAGGCTAACTGCAAATCTTCATTTTGGGACTCTTCTTGATTTGGCATTTCCTCGTCGGAAGACATTTTAACGCGCGTGCCGTACAATACCAAGTATGTGAATATTTCAAATAAAATAAAACAACAAGTGTGACCTGTCGAAACTTGTGGAAATGAGAAGATGCTACTCAATTTAAAGCATTTACTTCGGAATAAAAGTAGATACTACAGGCACGATAGTAAGTACTTCGACGTAAAGCAAATACTACCGGAACTGATTGGATACTTCATGGCGAAGTATTTACTTTGAAGTAGATTCTTAAAATTGTAGTATAAGCATCTACTTCGTTTTTATTCATACCTCTCTTTGGATTACCTCTGTAAACATGCTTCTGCATGATAAAAACATAATTTTTCGACTTTTGAACAGCTAGATTCACGTTTTGACGCAAAAAAGGTATTTTTACATTTGTATACAAAAACTACCCATTTTCTCAGATCAGAACACTGATAACCAAGCTCGGGTGCAATATTCAATCCCACTACGGATGAATCTTCGATTTTAAAACCTTCTAGACTCTACGTTTTGCTGTACTCTACACATATAGCCACTGTTTTTTTGAACCACTCTTTATATGCTAGAAGCCAAATGACGTTTTCCATTTTTCATCCATGAGCAACGTAAAAATCCAATTTTGCAGTCGGTCGATGGCTGAATGATCCGGGCATCCTCCTGATGCTCAAATTTTTCGCCTGACGAGAGTTTGAAAAAATCACGATAGTTTCAAATGGAAAATCCATTGGTACTTTTTAATTAAAATTCAAGCACGGCTCCATTCACTACTTTTTCGGCAGTGGACAAATTCGTCCGTCGACTATTTTTTGTCTCCGAATCTATTTCATGACTTTTCAATTTAACAGTGGCATAGAACCAGCGCTAGTCAAAAAGCAAACATGTGAATAAGCTTTATGGTGACTTGGAACGAGGGCATAGACGTAACACTAGTAGAATTTGATGTATTACGGGGTCAAGATTGAATAATCATGAATAACCAAGTTTTTGATAGTCATCTCTGGAGAAATGGGACCTGCAGAAATTTTTTTTATAGTGAAGCAGCCGCCAAGGCAAAAACCTTAATACCGAGGTACCTGAAGTGAGCAGTAGAGTCATTCTTACGTTATGACGAAAAAATAAAATTGGAATTAATTATTTTAATGGTTTTATTACTATTCTTTGGAATATACAGTGCTTTTCAAAAAGGTCACCAACCTACTTATTTTTTTGAATGGGTTAACTTGGAAAGTTGTAATTCCGGATAATAAAATTAATGTATAAATACTATGTTATAGCGTAAAAGCGGCGAATGAAAATTTGAAGATGGTACCTGGGCGCCATCTAATATTAAGCACCTGTTAGATATAATATTCACACAATTGTCTATACGACTTATAAACAGAAATGTCATTTTCTTACAGTTTGAGATGTAGAACTATATAGTTTTACAAAATAACAATGATAAACAGGTTTCTTCTGAATTATCTTCGTATCAAGTAGGTCGGCGTTATTATCTCACATACAATTACTTTGATTGATTTATGTTGAAACATTGTTCATGTGATGTTAGGTCTGGAAATAAATTGAACATAATCTAACTGATGATAGAACTGCGAGGGAAGTGAAGTACAGATCCAACCTACTTGACGTTATATTTTATCTTCATCTCAGGAATCAATTCAAGGTCCGTTCATAATGAAACCATATACAAAGATTAACTGCACCAAGACGAAACTTTGAGTTCCTATAAAAATGCATTTACCCTGATAGTGGCATTAAAAGCACCTTCTTTGGCCGTACTTGACGTGCCACTCCTGGTGCACAGTGGGCCAGGGGAAACAAAACTTGGCAAAAGAATTGTCCCGTGATGTGTTGATATCTGCTCCTAAAGCATCAAACATTACATTGATTTATACAGGGTGTTTCAGTTTATTGTTGCATAACTTTAAGATTCGATAGAACTTTTAAAATTAATACATAAGGTCTATATATATATATATGCGTGGCTTCCGAAATACAGGATGTTTAAATTTACTTTCTAAAATAGTTTTTTTTTTAAATATTTCGAACAATATTTGATGTATAACAGTGAAAATTGGTATACAAGGGTTTTTTGATACGACAAAACGAACCATGGACATAGTTTTACTGTAGCCGCTAGAGGGCGCTCTCTACTGTACCGGTAGTGTATTGAAATGACCGAAAATTTTTTCTTTAGTGCAATTTTTTGCTTTTTGAATAAAAAAACTGATTCTTCGCACTTTTCAACATAAAAATGCTCTCTTGTGAATTTTAGTTAAAGTTAGCCGTTTTTGAGATATGTCGATAAGGTTCGATGCATTTTTAATTACTTATGATAAAATAACGTTAAAAAGTCAGTATCTCGATAATTTTTAGAAGCAGGCTGTGCCTGCAAATATTTTTGAAATCGAAAGCAGAATAAGGTTAAACGTCAATTAGTTGACAGTTAGTTTTGTTATCTGTTAAAACCTGAAACGTTTTTTTGCAATTGTGAATGCACGAAATTTGGTTTCTTTTACCTGTTTTTTTTTTGTAAGTTTTATAAAAATGCCATTTTTATTCTCCAATCAAGAGTTAGCGGATACTCATTTTGTGTATGGCTTTGTAAATGGGAACGCAGCAGAAGCTGCCAGAGAATACGCGCGAATATTTCCAAACAGACGACATCCAACTCGCTCAGTATTTGTAAGAGTGCATCGCCAAATAATTGAAAATGGTTTTGGAAATCTCCAAAGGGATCAAAACATAAATGTTCGTCAGCGGAGATTTACCCGTATGATTCTGCGTGACTTTGATAGAGATCCGACCACAAGTGTTAGGAGAATTTCTGGTGCCTTGGGAATTTCAGCAAGCCATGTTCACCGTGTTCTTAGAAATGACCATAGATTTATACAGGGTGTTTCAGTTTATTGTTTCATAACTTTAAGATTCGATAGAACTTTTAAAATTAATACATAAGGTCTATATAAACATGGGTCGAAAAATGCGTGGCTTCCGAAATACAGGTTGTTTAAATTTACTTTCTAAAATAGTTTTTTTTAAATGTTTCGAACAATATTTGATGTATAACAGTGAAAATTGGTATACAAGGGTTTTTTGGTACGACAAAACGAACCATGGGCATAGTTTTACTGTAGCCACTAGAGGGCGCTCGCTACTGTACCTGTAGTGTATTGAAATGACCTACAAAATTTTCTTATTGCAATTTTTTGCTTTTTGAATAAAAAAACTGATTCTTCGCACTTTTATAGTTAGCCGTTTTTGAGATATTTCGATTTTTAAGGTTCGATGCATTTTTAATTATTTATGGGAAAATAATATTTTGTTTACATTTTCGATCAAGCTGAAACCAGGCCAATCTTCTTAAATCTAACAAAACGTCATCCCACATATTTGCATGTTCAGCCTTTAAAAATTCCAAGAAGGTCGCAGCATTTAACCTTGCAGGCAAAAGGTGGGGTCCAAATAGTCGATTACGGTAGATACCAATCCACACGTCCACACTAAATTCATGCTGAAAATTTCTTTCCCGAACTGCACGCGGATTTTCATTCGACCAAATATGTTGATTATGAAAATTTACCACTCCACGTCTAGTGAAGCATGACTCATCTGTCCATAAAACGTTACTTAAAAACTCCCTATTATTATCAGTTCTATCAAGAATCCACTGACAAAATGTGATTCTTCGTTCTCCGTCCCCTGGCTATAGTCCTTGCACAGGTTGCAAATGGTAAGGACGTCTATGGTCATTTCTAAGAACAAGGTGAACATGGCTTGCTGAAATTCCCAAGGCACCAGAAACTCTCCTAACACTTGTGGTCGGATCTCTATCAAAGTCACGCAGAATCATACGGGTAAATCTGCGCTGACGAACATTTATGTTTTGATCCCTTTGGAGATTTCCAAAACCATTTTCAATTATTTGGCGATGGACTCTTACAAATACTGAGCGAGTTCGATGTCGTCTGTTTGGAAATCTTCGCGCGTATTCTCTGGCTGCTTCTGCTGCGTTGCCATTGACAAAGCCATACACAAAATGAATATCCGCTAACTCTTGATTGGAGAATAAAAATGGCATTTTTATAAAACTTAGAAAAAAAAAACAGGTAAAAGAAACCAAATTTCGTGCATTCACAATTGCAAAAAAAACGTTTCAGGTTTCAACAGATAACAAAACTAACTGTCAACTAATTGACGTTTAACTTATTCTGCTTTCGATTTCAAAAATATTTGCAGGCACAGCCTGCTTCTAAAAATTATCGAGATACTGACATTTTAACGTTATTTTATCATGAATAATTAAAAATGCATCGAACCTTAAAAATCGACATATCTCAAAAACGGCTAACTATAACGAAAATTCACAAGAGAGCTTTTTTATTTTGAAAAGTGCGAAGAATTAGTTTTTTTATTCAAAAAGCAAAAAATTGCACTAAGAAAAAATCATCATTTCAATACAGTACCGGTACAGTAGAGAGCGCCCTCTAGCGGCTACAGTAAAACTATGCGCATGGTTCGTTTTGTCGTACCAAAATACCCTTGTATTCCCATTTTCACTGTTATACATCAAATATTGTTCGAAATATTTAAAAAAAAAACTATTTTAGAAAGTAAATTTAATAGTATTTCGGAAGCCACGCATTTTTCGGCCCATGTTTATATAGACTTTATGCACTAATTTTAAAAGTTCTATCGAATCTTAAAGTTATGCAACAATAAACTGAAACACCCTGTATAATACCATACTGAAAAGTAGTTTTAAACCATAAATAAGTCTGCTCTCCGGACTTGTACCTTATTCTGTGAGAGCAGCAACGGACTGCTACTTTAGTGGTTTATTTTAAACAGTATGCAAAATCATTGTCGAATCCTAAGTTAGATATATTAGGAACATTTTTCGGTGATGAAAGATTAGTCACTAGATTTAACCGTTAGTAATTAGCATTAGGAACTGCAAGACTTTTTGAGCAGTAGTACTATCGGTAGCACATGCCGTGCTCTGTTCGCCTTATGCTCATTCATGGTGCAGATACGAGTATAACTTCCAGTCTAGATCTACCCCTAGTATTTTATTCTGAGGAGGCCGTTTAAGCTAAAAAGAAGAATATTATGTGTTGCATGTGAGGTATTATTATTATCTCTGTTGTAATGTAGCTTCTGCTCAGTACTTGAGGGGAAACATTTTCCAATGGAAATAAGTACTAAATTTTCTCAATATAGTCTCTTTATTCATTTTGCACCATCCCAAAATTATGAAAACTAGGCTCAGCGCGCCAAAAAACATATAAATGACCATGTTTGTTCCTAAGTTCACGAATGGGGATTTTTTTGCAAGTTTTATATGTCCCTAGCCCACTGTGTGTGAACTTGACGTGTCACTTCTGGTTGGCCGACTCCTCCAGAAAGTACTCAAAGTCAGGAGACAACATTTTTGTGGGAAGGGTTAGCAGAAAACCTGATTTTTACATTCTGTTTCTAATCTCTTCGAATTCGTTCTGATCGACCAATCAATTTCTCATAACGATACCATTTCCAAAGATTTACGGCACCGAGAAAAAACTTTGAAACCCCATAAAAATTCATTTATCCTGATAATGATATTAAAGGCACCTTCCTGGGCCGTATTTCACGTGCTCCGCTCCTCCTGAAAGGACTCCGAATAACGCTCGTTCGTTCGAGCGGCACGACGCGAAGCGGTGCGGGCGGTGGCAACAGGTTTCAATAAGTTCGATCGTCGATTAAAGAGCTTTTGAAAAATGTCCGCGCTCTGCGGTGTGTAACAGATTGCAGTCGAAACCATTGCGGTTCGTCTAAATGGGTGCGTGGTGTGAAACAAATGGTTCACCGGTGCATATAATGCACCGCAATGTTTGAGAAATGCCTCACAATAGGTAAAGGGCTTACGAAAGGTTGGAATTAAATTGGAAACACAGTCTTTCTACTTTAGATTACCCGTTTTTTTGATGAATCATAAAGTAATGGGTGATTTTTTGCTAGTATCTTTTTGGCAACACTGTTTTTGACAGATGACGCGTGAATCGTGTCTTGTGTCATTGTCAAACTTGTTCAGTTTGGTCTATAATTTAACCATGAATCGACTTACGAACGAACAACGCTTGCAAATTTTTGAATTTTACTATCAAAATTCATGCTCGGTTAAGAGAGTGCATCCAATTTATGGACAATTTGGTCGGCCTACTGAAGAATCTATTCGGAAGCTTGTGACTAAATTTCGAACCCAGTTTACATTATTGGACATTAAACCACCAACACGCAGACGTAGAGTGAGGACTGAAGAAAGTATTGCGGCTGTATCCGCCAGTGTTAGTGATGACCGTGAAATGTCGATTCGCCGCCGTTCGCAGCAAATTTAGCGACAGGATTTGGGTGTAAAACCTTATAAGATACAGCTGGTGCAAGAATTGAAGCCCCACGACCTCCCACAACGTTTCCAATTTGGTGAATGGGCGCTGGCAAAGTTGGAGGAAGATCCACATTCTTATCGAAAAATTGTGTTCAGCGACGAAGCTCATTTCTGGTTGAATGGGTACGTTAACAAGCAAAATTGCCACATCTGGAGTGAAGACCAGCCAGAAGCATTTTAAGAGCTACCAATGCATCCCGAAAAAATCACTGTTTGGTGTGGATTATGGACCGGTGGCATCATCGGGCCGTACTTCTTCAAACACGACAATGGCCGGAACGTAACTGTGAATGGCGAGCGCTACCGTGCGATGATAACAAACTTTTGTTGCCCAAAATGGAAGAGCTGGACTTGGCTGACATGTGGTTTCAACAAGACGGTGCCACATGCCACACCGCACACGAAACAATGGCCCTATTGAGAGGCGAGTTCGGTGAACAGTTTATCTCACGTTTGGGGCCCGACAATTGGCCGCCTAGATCGTGTGATTTAACGCCGTTGGACTATTTCTTGTGGGGCCATGTTAAGGCTAATTTCTACAGGGATAAACCAGCAACGATTGACGCACTGGAAGCCAAAAAGTATTTATTCGTGAGATACCGGCCGATATGTTGGAGAGAGTGTGCCAAAATTGGACCTTGCGCATGGGCCATCTAAAGCGGAGCCGCGGCCAACATTTACATGAAATAATCTTTAAACATTAAATTATATCGACCGTTCTATCGACTCAAAGATTTAATCGTCATTCCAATTTTTTGTGTTTTTTTTTAAATCAATTACTACACCTCTTAAAAAATCACCCGTTATATAGCAAACGAGATGGATTAGCATGTATCTGACGAGATTGATGTAATTAACTCCAAAAATATATACCTAAACATAATATTCAGAATCCATAAGAAAAATAGACAAATAGTTTTTCTTCTTTTATTATTTTAATTCGTTTAGGGCTCACACAGTTTGAATTATTTTCTTCTAAAATCTTAAACTATAGGGTAATTCTAGGACAGATGGCCCACCTTTTTACAAATCAACATAACATCTTTATTATACCCCAGAAAAATCATTTAATAACTTAGGTTAAACCAGGCTTATATGAAGAATATTATTACAACAGAAAAAATAATCAAACTTAAATTTTATTCTCAAAGAAACGAAAAAAATAAAATATCAGACTGAGCCATCTCTCTTTTAATATATGGGTGAGTTGGCCCATAGTATTCGGTGAGATGGCTCGATTCAAAAACTAGTAAATATAGTAGTTCATTATTGCTGCGACTTTCCACATGCATCACAAAAATTGTCAAATCTGGGGCACCCTTCATGTACCCATCTGCAACACGTCACACACTGAATCCAGTCATCCATTTTTGTGGTGGTGGAATAAAAATCTCCGCTTCCACCGCATTTACTTGTTTCATCTTCGTATTCCGAGGAATCATCATATATTATTTCTTCTTCAGAAGAAGAAGATGTAGATTGCTTCCGTTTTTTAGACTTACTTTGAACGCGGCTAGGGCCTGGTTTAATGCATTTCTTGTTTTCTTTCTTTTTCCGTTTCTTCGCCTCAGCTTGTAATTTTTCTTCTAGTTTCTTTTTCTTATTTCTAATATTATCGCTGCTAGTCAAGGCAGAAGCCAACTGTCCACCTCTCTTCCTCGCAGAAGAGACTGCTTCAGTGATAGGAATCGGGTTAATTTTGTCCAGTATTTTTCCAGGGGTATCTATTTCTTTCTCAGGTGTCTTCATATCAGATGGTCCAGCTGAATCATTCACTACCGATTCCAATATTTCAATAATAGATGAATCCTGAGCAGATTCATTTCTATTGTCAACAGATATTTCACCATTCGGTAAAACTTGAGATTCAGGTTCATTAGGTGAAGCTCCCTGAGGTTTGTCAGTAAGATAAGCGTAATCTGGAATCGCAGACGGATTGAAAGGCACAATTCCTGTATCTCTGAAAGATGAAACCGCATTTTTAACAGTTGCTGATTTCTCCCAAGCTGCAGCGGGTAATTGTCCAAAAATCAATCTGTTAATGCGTCGATTGGGATTTCTTCTAATGAAAGCATTACATTCTTCATAATACAACGCCTTTAGTGACTTAAAAACTCCTCTGTCTAGAGGCTGAAGAAATTGAGTTGTATGACTAGGTAGACACACAAAAATTATTTCATTTTCAGAAGCATATTCTAGTGTCTCTACGCTGCTGCAATGCGATGAGTGTCCATCGAGGATTAACATAACATATCCTGGAGGTTTCCTTGGGACAAACTGTTCTTTAAGCCACCTCAAAAATAAAACATTATTGACATAAGCTGATTTCTCAGACATGAATACTAAGGAGCCTGGTGGCATACCATCGGCAAACTCTGGTTTCTGATTCTTACCCTTAAAGATGCACGTTGGTGGTATAAATGACCCCTCCGCATTGCAAGATGTTATTACGGAGATTGTTTCGCCTTTTTCTGCTGATGTCACTGCCGATACGTTTTTTGAACCTCTCTGAGCAATAACAAAGCCTGGTTTGTTGTTCATTTGTAGACCTGTCTTATCTACATTGTAGATTCTTGCTGGTTTGTTAATTAAATTATATTCTATCAGAGTGTTTTTCAATAGGTTGAAATAAGATTCCACAACTTCTCTATTCATATTTAAACAACGAGCAGCTAACATACCTTCGGATTTTCTCACTGCTAGATCCTTATTGCGCCTTAAAAATGACTCGAGCCATGGATATCCTGCCATACGTCTTTCAATATTGAATTTATGTGGGAGATTTAATTTCTGGGCTAATTCAAATGCCATAGAACGTACCTACAGTTGTTCGTGATGGCGAAAATCCAAACTTTTGATGTTTTTTAATATGATTGACCAATTTAACTTCGTTTTCTTGTCCTAAAGTAGATAATGGTCCCAACGGAAGCTTTCTATGATTGCAACTTCTCAAGCGTCGTCGAAGTGTTGTGTATGGCACACCAAAGGAACGAACGGCTTCTCGAACACCTACTCTACCTTCTTGTACAGCCTCTATAGCCTGTTGTAAATCTTGTTCTGACCATTCCCCTCGACAAACACTACCTTTGCGTTTATATTCGGTAAGCATTTTAACCGCAAAAGAGTTCATAACTATTAAAATCATGTTAAGTAATTGAGCCATCTCTCCTCTCTTAGCAGTGAGCCAACTCACCTAATGTTACAAGGATAGATGGCTCACTTCGGCGTTAAGTTATACATGCGAATAACAATTTAATTTTAGGTTAGGAATGCCGCCAGGCCTTATACTACCCGATGAATTTGTAATTGTTTGCAAAAAATAACAATACGTACCTCTCACGCAATTTTAATACTTTGTCAAAAAAAATCGTACATATAACCACCACTTCTAGTGTAATTCTACTGTAATAAAACGTTCAATTACTCGTACTAACTGCGGCTGACACAGCATATGACGCAATACTAGATGGCTGCCGGTGTTGCCAAAGTATCGGTCTTTCATACATTTGTGGAGATATTGACGGTGGGCCAACTCACCTGATGGGCCATCTGTCCTAGAATTCCCCTACGCATCAAACAGCGACGGTTGTTTCTCTTGACATTTCTAATTTAAATTTATTAGACTATATAATATTCAGAATTTTGCACATTTTTGGTGGCACTAAGAAATGTTACATCAAACAGAAACAAGTTATATTTAATAAGAATAATATGTCCGAAACTTTTTCGTAGAATAAGCATCCCAAGAAAAACTGATCTAGTCGGGAAGGACAATAGAAAATTTGAGATATTAGACAGGCTCAACCATGCTTGCCGCCCAGATGTCTATGAGGGCATTTTACCGAATTCACATACAAGAGGCCCGCGGTAAGGATGGATGCACATATAGAAAAAATAGAGGAAAAGCTTCATATAAAATATTCATTTATTTATTTATTTAAGAATTTCGGGATGTCAAATAGAGAAATTCTCCAAAAAAGACATCCACAACATAGCTTACAAAGAATATCAAATTACAAGCACTGTTATAAAGCGATATAAATGTGAAATAACTTAGCAATAAGGATACAAAGAAGAAAGTTAAAGAACAGTAACGCCGTTTACAAGGGAGTAGTAGCCAACATCCTGTTTAAGGTAAGTGGCTTATACAAATTCATTTTACATTTTTTTATGAATAATGGAGGTATATTGTGAATTCCTGCAGATTTTTTGATATCTAGGGAGTCAATACTTTCAAGTACGTGATTTTCATGAATAGCTTTATGCCTTTAAGTATTCCTTCATCCACAGGACTTTCGGAAACATTATTTGTGGAAAAGACGCTACCGAAGTACTCGGCAAATAAGTTACATATTTCAATTGGCTGATTAGCACTTCTGTTTTTGTATGTTACTTCCTGGGGGTGCTTGTATCTAAATTCCTACTATTTGCGATAAATTTCCAAAATCTCTTTGAGTCAACTTGGATTTCATCCTCTGTATTTGTTGCATAGTTTTGAAAATATTTGGCTATCAACTGCTTGGATTTTTTCCTCAATGCGGAGTATTGAGAGTAAGCTACTGAGTCTTTATACAATTTAAATTTTCTTCCGTTCTATAGTTCTAATAGTTTCTTGCTTAAAGTAAATATCCTTATGCTTAATTTTGAATTTAGGAGCACATGCTTAAATTACATCTTTAATCTTATCCATTTCATTAACATCCGAACAACGCGAATACAGTTCATCCCAACTGACATTCGACACAATCACATTAATACCCATATACAGCGTGTCCCAAAAAAAGTGTGCAATATTCTACCAGCGGTTTCAAGAGCTTAAAATAGGAAGAAAAGTTTATATAAACATAGGCCAACAAACGTCCCCTAAGGGCGCTACGGTCTCTTAAAGGGACTCCCCTGAAGATGGTTTTTCCTTAATATTTCCGAAACGTGTTGAGATAAAGATATAAAATTTGGTATTCTAGCCTAGTTTTTTATGCTCGATTTAAAAATATGAACAATTTTAGACAGTTTTGTTTGGAAGCGTATGTAACAGGGGCGGACTCAGGTTATTTTAGCCCCAAAATGCCGGTTAAGAAGTTCTGAAATTCATGGTACTTCCCGAGGGAGACGGAAAAAACGAATTTTCCCAAAATGGTTTTAATTTCTTCCTGACTTTATTTGTAGTTGGATATCAAAATAAAATGCACATTAACATTGCCACATTTTCTTCTCTGGAAAAAGGCATAATTGGAATTTCAATATAACGTTTCGTCTCTTGACCTCCAGCATCAACTTTATTTTTGCTTATGGACGCCATAATGGATTTTTGCATAGATTTTAATTCTGATTCCAAAAATGTATAATACGTCATACACTGACATTGTCAAAAATTAATTATCTCAAAAAAAATCAGAAATTCCCAGGTAGGCCTAGAAATTATCAGATATTCATTTTTTTCGCATACCAGATATATCCCAAAATTACTTTTATTTTTTCCTGGGTTTGAGATAGGATTCCAAAATAAATTGGAATTTTGTACATTTAAAAACTTCTCTAAAGTTGATGCTGGAGGACAAGATAGGAAACGTCATACTGAAATTCCAATTATGCTGTCTAGAGGAAGAAAGTGGCAATATTAATGTGCGATTCGTTTTGAAATCCCTTTACAAATATGGCCAGGGAAAAATTGAATCGGTTGTGGGAAAATTCGGTATTATCCGTCTCTCTCCGGAAGTACTTTGGATTTCGGAACTTCCTAAGTGGCATATTGTTGATTATCTAAATAGGCAACTTTGTCCCCATTTAAGCGATCGTATCTTTTACAGTTTCCGAGGTCCCAATGGTGAAGGTCGAATTTGAAACACCCTGTACAGGGTGACTTCGAAGTTGAGTCATTTGTTTTAACAGTGAGTAGATCTGATCAAAAGAAATGTTTTTCCTTGAACATTTTTCTGGTAAAATTAAAGTAACAAAGTTATAGCCCTTTAGAAGTTTGAGTACCGCCCTGCCTCAATAATAATATTATGTGCTCCTGTTTGGCAACAACGGATATAATCCGCCTTATCGGTTCATCGTATCGGAAACAAAAAAGCGAAAGAATTTTTAACGATGTTTTTACAATTATTTTATTCAGTTGTATACAGTCAGTGTCAGTCGGTAACGCGTGAGTGAATAGTGGTGTTGCGTGGCTCAAACGAAATAAAAAATGGCACATGTTTACGAAAATGCTGAATGTAGTACAAAGGGCTCGTGAATCAGGTGACTTAAGACCTCACAGGGGAGAGCATGCCGGTGCTCCAAGACCGCACGATCAAATACAGGTCCGCACTTAAATACTTGTCGGGAGGATACTTTATAAAACAAAGTAACATTTTTTTTTTATTTTTTTTTTATTTTTACACACATATTTTGGTTTATCTTCCTTCTACAATCATTATCTGAAAATTAATGACTCAACTTCAAAGTCACCCTGTATTTGTGTTACTATAAATGACCTCGGCTTAGCAGTCGATTTTTGCTAGGCCATGTTGAATAAATGTTAGAGCTGGGTAGGATCTGAATGAGTCGTTCCAAAGGAACTATACCTCAGCAGGAACTGAAGGAATGAATCATCTCGATTCGACTGTTGAGATACCTGCGCTTAAAACTGGTTTGAATTTGAAAGACAGGTCAAAAGGAACTAAAGGGTGTATCGATAAGAACGCAATATTTGAACTACGCGCCATTTTGTCATTCATAATGTAATCATGATTTTGACATGACAGACCGATAATAGACAGGCGGGAGATGATGAAAATGAATCATTACACAATATAGTCAACGCCAGACAAAGTGGCGTGCACGTCATCAAGGTGGGTGTGTTGAAAAATTTACATTGTTGCCAAACTTTTTGTAAAATAATAAAATTTATTATTTACATATCTAGGTTTATAAGCAATATTAACCTCAAATGAGAACAAAAATAATAGTATAATAAAATTATAGATCTGTACTTGCATAATCATTAAGTATGACAATTATTGATCAGATGACACTATGAAACTACCATATTTAATTGATAGCTTAAAGGTACTGAATAAAAATCCAAATGGGGTCCTCCAAATTTTATGCATGGTATTTATTTTACAGAATTCATACAGAAAAATGCATTCTAAAATTAGGTAAGCTACTGGTGTAAGCTTTTTCTGTACAATAAAGTTAGTCGGAGTTTCTTTCTTCAGCGCTGTCTGAATCTGAATCTTCATCACTCTCAAAGTTGATTATTAAAGGTTCGATGTCTGGTCGATCAAAAATTCGTTATCTTTCATACAATTTAAAAATTTCTTGCTCAGTATGTCGAACACTATTTTTCCACATGTCTGGGGTAACCGTTTGTAGAGCCTCGTTCCACATATCCAAACAGTCTTTTTCACTGTTACCATCTCTACCAATATGTCTGTTATAGTAACCTTTTGCTATGCCCCAAATTAACTCAATAGGGTTAAATATACAATGGTAAGGAGGCAGACGAAGAACTTTGTGCCCATGTTGTTCCGCCAATTCATCAATCACGTATATTTTAGGTGGTTTGTTTCTAAAAAAGCAGTTATTTTAAGAATAGGAATAAACAAAAGAAATATAAACTGTCGACCAAAATATATATAATTAAGAAGCATTATGTACCGAGCAACAATACTCAATAGCTCTGTTTTAAACATTGTGTTTAAAAATGGTATGTTTTGATTTGTCAACCAGTCTTGGATATTTTTTTTGTCCATGCATTGTTGGGCACTTTGTTCAATATCATGCTGTGATAAGGGGCGTTATCCAGTATAATCATAGATGGACTCTCCAATTTTTCTAATAACTGATGTTGAAACCATTTCAAAAAATTGTCCTGGTTCATCTCTCCATGGTAATCGCTCAATTTTGTTTTCGAAGAAAATATCGCTTCACTACCCTCAATAAACCCATTTTCATTTCCAGCATGTAATATAATGTATCTAAAATATATTAGTTTTAAATTTTATAGTGCAAATTGTGTAAAAGTACATACCTTTTACCATCTGTTTTAATAGCTTTCACGCTTTTTTGGTTTCCATTTTGCCAAGAGCGACCTATGGTCCCATTTTGAAATATCCAAGTTTCATCGAG